GGGGGGGGCACGGGGAGGAGTAGCGGTGGTGGGGAGGGAGGTATCCCTCACCCCTCCTCATCATCCACCTCATCCTCAATCCTCCTCGTTCACCCAGACGCCCCCCCCACCTCCCCCCGGGGAGTGTCCGTGGTGAACCCGTCCATTAGACTGCGAGGGACTCTCCTCCCCCTCCTCTCCCTCCCCTCCTCGCCCCCCTCGTCTCTGCGATAAGACGTCCCGCGGTAATTGGCCGAGCTACGGGTGCCGTGTAATGATGCGATGGCTGTACCTAGGCTGCCGGGATGGTAGCAGTGGTACCACGAGTGGGTCTCCCGCTTCGCACGCGTCTGCGGGTGCGTGCGAGAGAGAGGGCGTGCGCTGTTGAGCGTGACGGTGTGGTATGATTATGATGATGTGCGATGGTATGATGCTGGGCGCTCATATAATGCATGATGGTGTGGTATTATGCGCTTAGGTGATCCGTGGTGTGATGCTTTGTTATGTTGTGGTATGATGCTGACTTGTCTGTATCGGTGGGGGGGGGGGGGTGCAGTGAGGGGGTGGGGGATGGTTTAGTGGTTTTAGCCCCAGGGGGCTGCTCCCGACCGCCTTTGTTTCCCCACCACCAACTCATTCATAATTGAGTCGGTCCCCATGAATAATGAATGTCCCCTTCACCGCGCACAGAAACTCGCAAAACTGAACTCCATTATTCATGCGCAGGTGCGGCACGCGGACTGCATTGACTGTCGGTACTGCCTGGACTGTCGGGATCGTAGCAATAATGCGCCGAGCGGCCTCTCCCCGCTGCGCACATGTCTCCTTGTGGTGAGGGTGAGTGTAGGAGAGGGCGAGTGCGTTGTTGTGCGTGCGCAGATTGGGGTGTGTGACAGATGGGTGGGTGAGTGTGGCGACGGTAAGATGTGAGTGACGTGTGAGTGTGGTTGGTGGTGGTGGTGGTGTGAATAGCGGCGGTAGGGTAGCGGTTAGCGCGCTAAGCTACGGACCCGGCCGCCCCAGTTCGTTTCCCGCTCACGGCCAACACCTGCGACGATTATCCGAACCGGTCCTGGGCCTCCCCTAGATCGACTCAGCCTTAAATGAGTAGTTTAGTGCGGTGTGTAAAAATCGCGAATTGGGATAACACCTCCTGTTCCGTGCCGTCCTTCGTAGGTGCTACTTGCTAACAGCACTTGCCCCAACAGTCCGCTGAGGCTATACGGGAAATGTTTGTCTTTTAGGTGGCGTTGGCAGCGGTAGTGTAGTGGTTGGCGCGCTGCACCACGAACGCGGCGGCCCGCGTTCAATTATCGCTCGCGGCCAACACCAGTGGCGATTATTTAAGCCGGTCCTGGGCCTCCCCTAGGTCGACTCAGCCACCCATCCCATCGTGTGCTACTCGCTAACAGCACTTGTCCCAACAGTCTGTTAAGGCTATTCGGGGAATCTTTGTATTTAGTGGTGTAGGCAGTGTGGGCGCGGTGGGGATGAGGTATGAGTGATGTGTGTATTGGGTGGGTGAAGCATGGGCGAGTGTACGGTGGGTGAGGGTGGCTATGTTTGTGGTGTGCGGTGAGGTTGTGGTGAGGGTGCGATAGAGCCGCACGCTCTCCACAGTCGAGGCCCTCATCCAGCAGTGGACCCGCGCGGAGAATTGTACACGCACTCAACACGCGCTGTTGTTGTAGCGGTTCTCATTTCGGTTAACACTGTTCCGAGGCAGCTGCCACTTGGTGGTGGTGGTGGTGAGCAGCGCTGAACTTGCGACCCAGAGGCCGCCGATTCGGCTTCATCTCCCGGCGCGGCAGCTGAAGCGATGGGGGGGAGGGGGGGTCAAGTCCCCCCCCACCCTAACCCCCACCATAGTGAAGTCTAGGATCGGAAGGGTGCGTCGTGTGTGGCGGTGGTGGGGTTAAGTGTGGGCGACTCTTCACATTCCTCTTTCACGACGTACTGGCCACCGTGGACGAGTAGCCCGTATACCGTCGCTCTGTAACGGCGTCCAGTGGAGGCCCTTTCCGCCAGCAGTGACGCGTGCGAGACATTGCAGGGCTGCGCCCTTACCTTGTGACTGAGAAACGAGGGAAAATACGCGTACCACGCGGTGACTTACGCCGCCGTGCCGTCTGTCCGTTCGCGCGTTCCAATCAAGCACATTCATGCACTTAAAATTATATTCACTACCAATCATTTCGGTTTACGGGTTGACGCGTAACAGCCAATAGTCAACAGTGGTGGTCACGGTAATAGTCAGCGGCGGGGGAGGGGGGTATAATGGCCACGGAGGTGCCATGAGCCCAGCCCAAACCCAAACAGCCACGGGACGCCTCTGTCAGCAGCAGCCTGACCCGTGAACTCTGCGCGGTTCTCCGCTGTAAACACCCCGCGCGCGCACGCGCGCGCACACGCACAGGCACGCGCACACGCACACAAAAGTCCCCCGTGTAGCCCACGCGGTCTGTCGTGGCAAGTGCTTTGCTGTTAGCGAGTAGCAGCACCCACGTATGCCCGGCCGCCTTTGTCTAATGGGTTGTTACTTCGGCTCGCCATCGAACAAAGTGGTCACTGCTGCTGCTGCATCGCGCGCATCTTGGTGCGCTTCTGGAACGCTCTTCCTTTCGATATTAGGAAACCACTGGAAATTTGCACTTTTAAATCATCCCGATTTTCAAACGAATTTTCGTAGAACTACTTTTGTGTTTAGTTTGTTGTCCTTCCCCTGCACCTCCGAATTATAATATATATTGGGGGGGGGGGACACATCCCCCCCCCCCCCAATATTCAAATATGCTCAAAATGTCCCACCCAATATATTGCTATAAAATAGATTTCTGTCTATATGATTGTGGTTATGGTTGTACTTTATTAATCCCTAATCTCTGCCATGACATACAATGAAACAAGAAAAAAAACAGAGCAATGTAATACAATACACTCAATACACTCATAAAACCGGGAGCAAGCGAGGGCTTTACCATTCTGGCGAATTGCCCGATGATGCTGGATGTATTTACCAGCGAAACGTCGTACTCAAACTGTAAATGTGGATTCACTCTTCAACACACCGGTGGGCTAAAGTAGTGAACTATTTGTCTTTTTGTCAACGTGACACTTTTTTTGCTGATTGGCCGTGTCGGGTGGTGGAGGGTTACGACACATTTATAAATAAACGCGATCTAACCCAAAAACCTTTATTATGAATAATATTGGTCGCGAAAGCCTACGTGTTAAACTAATACAATACACTATTAGACATTATTGTAAAAAAAAAGTCCATCCTATGTGTGAGTGAATTTTTTTATATTTTAGGCAGGAAATGGGCAGGAAATTAGTTTTCAAATTTCTGGGGAGGGGGGGGCGGACACACCCCCAGACCCCCTGGAAGATTTGGTCCCCCCACAATGTTGACTCCATGGCTACGGCCTTCCTCCACACACCGAATGGGATGAGGAGGTACCAGTACCACTTTCGTTATTGGTCGTGAGCAGTCGCCGCGTTCGTAATACTCACAAATACAAATATCACCCGTATAGCATCAAGATACTTTTGGGGAAAGTGCTGTTCGCGAGGAGCACCTACGCAGACCGGAATCCTTTGTTTCACTGGTGTTTACACATCTCACCAGGTACTCATTTGAGGCTGACTTGACCTAGGCTAAGCTCAGGACTGGTTCATAAAATCGTCGCTGATGTTAGTGGCCGTGAGCGGGATTCAAACTCCGGTTGTAGCCGGGTTCGCAGCGCATTTAAGCACTCACATTCAGTGTTGGAAGGCTCCTCGTTCTCCGTCAGGTCGACTCAGCCTTAAATTACTACCTGCTGCGATGTGTAACATCGCCACGAGGGAAACAAACGCGGCTGGGCGTGGTGCTGATTGCACTCTCCCTCCCGCACCTCCGATGAGCAGGGTTGGCTCCGTACGGTGCGAAAGAAGTTCTTTGTATGTGTATCTGCCAGTCATCCATGTCGGTTAACCCACATAATACTGAGATGAATACACACTTATACACAAACATCAACAATAATGCCCCGATATAGCCTTTAACAGACTGTTGGGGCAAGTGCTGTTGGCGAGCGCTTATTAAGGCCGGCACGGCACACGAGGGGGTGGGTGGCCAGCATCACGCTCCCTAGTGGGCGAAGTTTTTACACATCGCACCAGGTATTGATTTGAGGCTGAGTAGACCTAGGGGATGCCCAGGACCGGTTCAGATAATCGTCACTGGTGTTGACCATGAGCGGGAATTGAACTCGGATCGTCGGATTCGTAGCGCAGCGCGCTAACCGCTACACTGCCGCTCCTCACACAGACACGGACAGACATACACACAGACACATACACAGACACATACACACGCAGACACATACACAGACACTGAGAGACACATACACAGACACACGCAGACACACACAGACACACGCACAGACACCTACAGAGACACACGCACGCACGCGCGTGGCGCGCGCCGCGCGGGCAGGGCGGGGCCTGGCACGCGCCGGCCACGCGCCTCTCGCTCCACACCTGTGTGCAAGACAGACACAGGCAAAGCTCCCCCGTGTAGCCTACAAAAGGTTCTTACGAAGTGTCGACATGGCGCCCCTAAAAAGGAGATGGTGTGCCCAAAGCAATGCCTGGCCGTCTTTGTCTCCCCAGTGGTGATATCGATTACACACCGCACTGGTCCTGGGAGGAATCCCGGTTCCATTATTTGTCACTGTTGGCCGTGGGCAGGAATCAAACTCGGACCTCTGCAGGGCTCTTAGCGCAGCGCTAACCACTGCGCCACCGCTCACCCCGCATACATACTCACGCACACACATGCATTATCATAACAAACACACACGCGGTCACACCCTAATGCTGAACCACCCATCTTACAGGTGTCGCACACTCCTTCTCTGCAGGGGGTCCCCCCACTCCCTCCGCCCCCCTTCATCCCTCCCCAAACCCCCCCCCCCCCCCCCCACCCGGAGGTCGTGCGCTTAAAACGCGCGCGCGCCGCACGTGCTGCTCAATGCACGCGCCTTCGTGCACGCGCAACATCAGCAACATCATCAGCAACATCAACATCAGCGGAAAAAATAAACAGCATCACTACAATCATCATCATCAATACGGTCGGTAGTTTTAGTACCATCCTCACCGTCAGGACCATAGTTACCATCAACCCATACTCCGCCATCAATATCATCATCACCACTATCATCATCATCATCACCATCATCATCCCCTCCCAGTGTCACCACCATCTTATCATCGCCATCGCCCATGGAGCTTGCACGGCCAATCCTCTGGCTGCAGGGTCTCGAAGAGACCTGGATCAAGCCAGCAGTTGACAGCTGGTCCCGAGGAGGAGAGGAGGAAACGTGGGCCAGAGGAGGCGAGGAGACGTGGGAGACAGGAGGAGGGAGCTGGGATTCACCCAGCCAGGAGTCTCCGGGGAGCGCGGGACACGGGGACGAGGTAGGCAAGGGGATCTCAGGGCTCTGGGGGCCCCGAAGAGGGTCGAGGCGATCACCTCTCATCTCACCTCAACCCACGCGTCTCACCTAACCTCTCACCTCAACTTAACTGTCACCTCAGCCTTCACAACAATTCTCACCTCACCTAAACCCGCGCCTCTCATTTGACCCCTCGCCACAAACCTCATATCGCGCATTGGGATCTACGGATGAAATGCGCTTTACAAGTGTAAAGCATTATTCGGTGAGGCGCGTGAACTCACACACCGGGGAAAGTTTATATCACCACACATCATCTGATTGTCAATTAGCTGCGCACTAATTAACTGGATACTTATCATTTGAGAGCTCATTAGCTCACCACGAATCATAATTTGACCACTAAATAGCTGATCACCAATTAGTTCCCCATTCGTTCACTAATTATGATATCTGATAACGACCCTCTCCGCGTGTTCAGGAATCAGAGGACGCCAGGGGAAAGAGAAGAGATGGCTCTCCTCCCTTGCAGCGCCAGAGAGGAAGAGACAATGGGCTTTGTGGTGGAGGAGGAGATATTGGGCCCCACCACGAAGAAGACCATGGTCCCCGCCATGGAGACGGAGACAATGGGCCCCACTGTGGAGGAGAGGACACGAGATTCCTCCTTGGAGGAGGAGACATTGGGTTATGTGATGGAGAGGCCACTGGGCTCTGTGGTCGAGGAGGAGACACTGGGCTCCACCATGGAGGAGACATTGGGCCCCACCGTGAAGGTGGAGACGAGAGGCATCACCACCGTGGAGGAGGAGACACTGGGCCCCACCGTGGAGGTGAAGACAATGGGCCCCACCGTGGAGGAGAGACTGGAGGTGAAGGAGCCTCAGGACCTCGGGCGAGCGGGCTTCCGAGGGGCGGGGTTCACAGCCCCCGCGGGGGTGGAGGGGCGGGGCGCCCCGAGCGGCGCGCGGCAGCCAACGCGCGCGAGCGACGACGCATGCGCGGTCTCAACGAGGCGTTCGAGCTGCTGAGGGGGGTGGTCCCCCGCGCAGGGGGGGGCGGAGCCAGTGGGGGCGGAGCCTCGTCGCACCCCTCCCCCTCAGGGGGTGGGGCCTCGTGCGGCCGGAAGTTATCCAAGCACGAGACGCTGCAGGTGGCGCTGCTCTACATCGCGGCGCTAAGCGACGCGCTCGCGCAGGGGGGCGGGGCCGAAGGGCAGGGGGCGGGGTTACCTTGATTGGAGAGGGCGTGGCCAGACTGACAGTGGGCGGGATCAGGTGGCGCAGCTGGTGGTGCATCTCCCGGTCATCTCGGTCAGCCAACCCATGGCAACCTGCTGGGTCTGTCCCGTGACCTCCTGTCAGCGAGCCTTTGACACTTCACGTGGTCCTCAAAGTGCACCTGGCCTGGCACAGGCGCCACCGTCACTTAAGTGGCGAATGGCGGGAGTTGGTCTTGGTCCAGGGCTATGTAGGTGGTCGTGGGTTGGTGGGGGGCTCAGGGCTATGGCGGGGTGTTGCGGGGTCAGTACGCAATGGGCGTAACGCTATGGGGGGGCTGGTGCTGGGTAGGCGGGGCTATTGTGGAGTGGGCGGAGCTCTGTGTCTCGTGGAGTCGCTCGGTTTCAAATTTCGCGCGCGTGCGGCGGAGCTGAGAGGCGTGGGGGCGAGGGGGCAGGGGCGTGGCGAGGGGCGTGGCGAGGGGTGAGGGGCGTGGCGAGAGGGGCGGAGACCGCCCCACTCAGCTCACCCCTGCGCGGTTTCTTTTAGCTTCGGAAAACTGGAAGAGGCGACGTTTCGGGCAGTGGCCCTTTTCCACACACGCACTCACGCAGGCGCGCAGCCGCCGCCGTCTTGCCATGCCCGATGTTTTGAATGAGAAACCGAAATAAATTTTGTATATTTTTGTGATGGTCGCGTTTCGTGTGGTTATACCATCACAGCACACGGCGGTGTGGGTATGGCGGTGGTGGTTGGTGGTGGTGGTTGTTGTGAGGTGTTTGTAGCGGTCGTGTTAATAATGGTGTGGTGGTGTTCGTGGTTGAGATGGTGGTGTCATGTGGAGCGGTAGTGTCGTGGTTTAGCGCGATGCGTTACGAACCCGGCGACCAAAACCAGTGGCGTTTACATGAACCGGTCCTGGGCCTCCCTTAGGTAGACTCAGCCTCAAATGAGTACCTTGTGCGGTGTGTAAACGTCCCCACTAGGGAGACAAAGGCGGCCGGGCGTGGTGCTGCCCACCTATCCCATCGTGTGCCGTTCCGGCCTTCACATCTATGTTGAACTTCGCCTAATTAACGGTGATTGTGTTTAGTTTGCTGTCCTTAGACCGCACCTCCGATTAGCACGGTTGATTACGTACGGTGCGAAAGAAGCTCAACAGCCCGTACAGACATACAACGCCCCAACAAAACACCACACCCCCACCACACACCCTCCACCCGTCACCACTCCACCACCCCCCACCACACTACCACCACACCACCACCCCCCATCATACCCCCACCACTCCACCACCCCCCACCACACTACCACCACACTACCATCACACCCCCACCACACCGCCACCACCCCCCATCACACCCCCACACACCCCCACCCCACCTCCACCACACCTCCACCACACCTCCACCCCACCTCCACCCCACCACACCCCCATCACACCCCCACCACACCCCCACCACACCTCGACCACACCCCCACCCCACCTCCACCACACCTCCACCCCACCCCCACCACACCCCCATCACACCCCCACCACACCATCACACCCCCACCACACCATCACACCTCCATCATACCTCCACCACACCTCCACCCCACGCCCACCACACCATCACACCACCATCACACCTTCACCCCACGCCCACCACACCATCACACCTCCATCACACCTCCATTATACCTCCACCACACCTCCACCCACGCCCACCACACCATTCACACCTTCACCCCACGCCCACCACACCATCACACCTCCATCACACCCCCATCACACCTCCACCACACCTCCACCCCACGTCCACCACACCATCACACCTCCATCACACCTTCACCCCACGCCCACCACACCATCACACCTCCATTACACCCCCATCACACCCCCATCACACCTCCATCACACCACCACACCCCCATCACACCTCCATCACACCTCCATCATACCTCCACCCCCACCATAGCCCCATCACATCTCCATCACACCTTCACCCCACGCCCACCACACCATCACACCTCCATCACACTCCCATCACACCTCCATCACACCTTCACCAGACAATCCACCACACCCTCACCCCACCCCCACCACACCATCACACCTTCACCAGACAATCCACCACACCATCACACCTCCACCCCACCTCCACCCCACCCCCAACACACCATCACACCTTCACCAGACAATCCACCACACCTCCACCACACCCCACCACACCATCACACCTTCACCAGACAATCCACCCAACCCCACCTCCATCACACCTTCACCAGACAATCCACCACACCCACATCACACCTCCATCACACCTTCACCAGACAATCCACCACACCATCACACCTCCATCACACCTCCACCCCACCCCCATCACACCTCCACCACACCTTCACCAGACAATCCACCACACCATCACACCTCCACCCCACCTCCACCATACCCCCACCACACCATCACACCTTCACCAGACAATCCACCACACCCCCATCACACCTTCACCCCGCCCCCACCACACCTCCACCCCACCCCCATCACACCTCCATCACACCTTCACCAGACAATCCACCACACCATCACACCTCCACCACACCTCCACCACACCCCCATCACACCTCCATCACACCTTCACCAGACAATCCACCCCAACCACGCCTCCATCACACCTTCACCAGACAATCCACCCCCACCACACCCCCATCACACCTCCACCACACCTCCATCACACCTCCATCCCACCCCCATCACACCTCCATCACACCTCCACCACACCCCCATCACACCTCCATCACACCTCCACCCCACGCCCACCACACCATCACACCTCCATCACACCCCCATCACAACCCCATCACACCTCCATCACACCTTCACCCCACGCCCACCACACCATCACACCTCCATCACACCCCCATCACAACCCCATCACACCTCCATCACACCTTCACCCCACGCCCACCACACCATCACACCTCCATCACACCCCCATCACACCTCCATCACACCTTCACCAGACAATCCACCACACCTCCACCCCACCCCCAACACACCATCACACCTTCACCAGACAATCCACCACACCTCCACCACACCCCACCACACCATCACACCTTCACCAGACAATCCACCACACCCCCATCACACCTCCATCACACCTCCACCACACCCCCACCACACCATCACACCTCCACCAGACAATCCACCCCACCCCAACCACGCCTCCACCAGACAATCCACCACACCATCGCACCCCCATCACACCTCCACCCCACCCCCACCACACCATCACACCTCCACCACACCCCCATCACACCTCCATCACACCTTCACCAGACAACCCACCACACCTTCACCCCACCCCCACCCCCCCACCACACCTTCACCCCACCCCCACCACACCATCACACCCCCATCACACCTTCACCCCACCCCCACCCCCCCATCACACCTTCACCCCACTCCAACCACACCAGCTCCACTCATCGCGGTGCGACATCGCCCCCTGGCGGCCACGATGACCTCTCCCCCGACTCACAAAGACAAAGATCTCCCGTGTAGACTTAACAGAGTGTCGGAGCAAGTGCTGCTAGTGAGCAGCAGCAGCAGCACCTGTACAGGCCGGCACGACCTTTGTAGCCAGCACCATGCGCAAGTTTACACACCGCACAAGTCGCTGATTTGAGGCTTAGTCGACCTAGGGGATGCCCAGAACCCGTTCGGATAATAATGAATCACTGGTGTTGGCCGTGAGCGGGAATCCAACCCGATTGGCGGTGTTCGTAGCACAGCGCGCTAACCGATTCGCTCACAACACAACACTCTTTCACACACTACTAATACACCCATAAATGGTCATTTTAGTGTGCTAACACACTAACATCTGCATTAACACGCCGACATACCCATTAACGCACTAACATACGCATTAACACACTAACATAATCACATACTTATTAACACACGGCAAACATTCAAAACATCTAACGCCTCGTATATACTCAACACTCCAAACTAAACCCCACCACTCGCCCACACTACACACTTACACAACAACTCCCACAGAACACCCCCCCCCCCCATTACAACACACTACACACCATAAACACACACCCCATACACCATAAACACACCCCCCGTACACCATAAACACACACCCCATACACCAGAGCGCACACCCCACAACACACACACACCACATACAATACAGCACGCAAGCACAAACCAGCGCACAACACCACCCACATACACACAGGCACCAAATTAGAGAATACACTCAATTATATCCACCAGCGCCATATCCACTGCACACAACACACAAACAAACAACAACAGCCCCAACACACACCGACGCACACACACCCCTGCCCCCCACCCCCGCGCCCCCTCCTCATACAAATATAGCGGCCTCTACAAATAGCGGCGACTCCATCCCCCCCCAGAGACCCCCTCCTCCTCCCCCTCTCTTCTCTTCTCCCTTCCCTCGGAGTTCTCCCTGCACCCATCCCTCCCCCTGTTCCCCCTCTCTCGCCGTGTCCCCCTCGCTCACCCCCCGTGCCCCCCTTCTCTCCCCCTCGCTCACCCCCCTGTCCCCCTGTGTTCTCTTCTCTATCCCCCTCCCTCCACGTGTACTTCCCTCCCTCTCTCGCTGCATCTCCCGTTGAGTTTCTCATTTTTGCGTGGGGAGTGCAGCTCGCAACGCCACGAGGTTAGTGAAGGGGTGAGTGAGGGGGTGAGTGTGTGAGTGAGGGGGTGAGTGGGTGAGTGTGTGAGTGAGGGGTGAGTGTGTGAGTGAGGGGGTGAGTGGGTGAGTGTGTGAGTGAGGGGTGAGTGTGTGAGTGAGGGGGTGAGTGTGTGAGTGAGGAGGTGAGTGAGGGGGTGAGTGAGGGGGTGAGTGGATGAGTGTGTGAGTGAGGGGTGAGTGTGTGAGTGAGTGGATGAGTGTGTGAGTGAGGGGTGAGTGTGTGAGTGAGAGGGTGAGTGTGTGAGTGAGGGGGTGAGTGTGTGAGTGAAGGGTGAGTGTGTGAGTGAGTGGATGAGTGTGTGAGTGAGGGGGTGAGTGTGTGAGTGAGGGGGTGAGTGTGTGAGTGAGTGGGTGAGTGAGTGAGTGTGTGAGTAAGGGGTGAGTGTGTGAGTGAGGGGGTGAGTGTGTGAGTGAGGGGGTGAGTATGTGAGTGAGGGGGTGAGTGTGTGAGTGAGGGGTGAGTGAGGGGGTGAGTGGGTGAGTGTGTGAGTGAGGGGGTGAGTGTATGAGTGTGTGAGTGAGGGGGTGAGTGTGTGAGTGAGTGGTGAGTGTGTGAGTGAGGGGGTGAGTGTGTGGGTGAGTGGGTGAGTGTGTGAGTGAGGGGTGACGGGGTGAGTGTGTGAGTGAGAGGGTGAGTGTGTGAGTGAGGGGGTGAGTGTGTGAGTGAGGGGGTGAGTGTGTGAGTGAGGGGGTGAGTGGGTGAGTGAGGGGGTGAGTGGGTGAGTGTGTGAGTGAGGGGGTGAGTGGGTGAGTGTGTGATTGAGGGGGTGAGTGTGTGAGTGAGGGGGTGAGTGTGTGAGTGAGGGGGTGAGTGAGGGGGTGAGTGGGTGAGTGTGTGAGTGAGGGGGTGAGTGGGTGAGTGTGTGATTGAGGGGTGAGTGTGTGAGTGAGTGGATGAGCGTGTGAGTGAGGGGGTGAGTGTGTGAGTGAGGGGTGAGCGTGTGAGTGGGTGAGTGTGTGAGTGAGGGGTGAGTGGGTGAGTGTGTGAGTGTGTGAGTGAGCGTGTGAGTGAGGGGGTGAGTGTGTGAGTGAGTGAGGGGTGACCGTTTGAGTGAGTGTGTGAGTGAGGGGGTAAGTGGGTGAGTGTGTGAGTGTGTGAGTGAGGGGGTGAGTGTGTGGGTGAGTGAGGGAGTGAGTGTGTGTGTGAGGGGTGAGTGTGTGGGTGAGTGTGTGAGTGAGGGGGTGAATGTGTGAGTGAGGGGGTGAGTGTGTGGGTGAGTGGGTGAGTGTGTGAGTGAGGGGGTGAGTGTGTGAGTGGGTGAGTGTGTGAGTGAGGGGGTGAGTGTGTGAGTGAGTGAGGGAGTGAGTATGCGAGTTAGCGGGTCAGAGTGTCTGACAGTGAGGGTGTGACTGAGTGAAGGGGTGAGTGAGGGTGTGAGGGAGGGTTGAGTACTTGAGTGAGGAGGTGAGTGAGGGTTGAATTGGTTGAGTAAGATTATAAGTGAATGAAGGGGTGAGTGTCAGGGTGTGAGTGAGTAAATGGGTGAGTGAGGGTGTGACGATGTGAGGGAGTGAGTGAGCGTTATTGTGAGTGGGTGATGGGGTGAGTGATGATTTCAGGTTGTGCGTAAAAGTATGAGTCAGGGTGTGAGTGAGGGTCTTTGTGCGGTGTTGTGAGTGAAGGAGTGAGGGGTGATGTGGTTGTGAGTGAGGGGGTGAGTGAGGAGGATTTGGTTTGAGTGACGGCGTGAATATGACAAACGTGTGGTGAGCATGATGTGTGGTGAGTGTCTGGTATGGTGAGTGTTTTTATGTAAGTTGAGGTTTGTTGGTGGTGAATGTGGTAGTGATCATGGTGAGTGTGTGTAAATTGAGGTTTGTTGGTGGTGAGTGTAGTGGTCAGTGTGGTGGTGAGTATGGGGAGTCTGTATAAGTTGAGGTTTGTTGATGGTGAGTGTGATGGTGAGTGTGGTGAGCGTGTGTACGTTGAGGTTTGTTAGTGGTGAGTGTGGTAGTGATCATGGTGAGTGTGTGTAAGTTGAAGTTTGTCGATGGTGAGTGTTGGTGGTGAGTGTGGTGGTGTGTGTACGTTGAGCTTTGTTGGTGGTGAGGTGCTGGTGAGTGTTGGTGGTGAGTGTGCTGGTGAGTGTTGGTGGTGAGTGGGTGGTGAGTGGGTGGTGAGTGTGCTGGTGAGTGTGCTGGTGAGTGTGCTGGTGGTGAGTGGGTGGTGAGTGGGTGGTGAGTGTGCTGGTGAGTGTTGGTGGTAAGTGGGTGGTGAGTGGGTGGTGAGTGTGCTGGTGAATGTTGGTGGTGAGTGTTGGTGGTGAGTGTGCTGGTGAGTGTTGCTGGTGAGTGTGCTGGTGAGTGTGCTGGTGAGTGTTGGTGGTGAGTGTTGGTGGTGAGTATGATGGTGAGTGTGCTGGTGAGTGTGCTGGTGAGTGTTGGTGGTGAGTGTTGGTGGTGAGTATGATGGTGAGTGTTGGTGGTGAGTGGGTGGTGAGTGTTGGTGGTGAGTGGGTGGTGAGTGTGCTGATGAGTGTTGGTGGTGAGTGGGTGGTGAGTGTTGGTGGTGAGTGTGCTGGTGAGAGTGGGTGGTGAGTGTTGGTGGTGAGTGTTGGTGGTGAGTGTTGGTGGTGAGTGGGTGGTGAGTGTTGGTGGTGAGTGTTGGTGGTGAGTGGGTGGTGAGTGGGTGGTGAGAGTTTGTTGTGAGTGTTGGTGGTGAGTGTTGGTGGTGAGTGTTGGTGGAGAGTGTGCTGGTGAGTGTGCTGGTGAGAGTGGGTGGTGAGTGTGCTGGTGAGTGTTGGCGGTGAGTGGGTGGTGAGTGTGGGTGGTGAGTGTAGGTGGTGAGTGTTGGTGGTGAGTGTGCTGGTGAGTGTTGGTGGTGAGTATTGGTGGTGAGTGTGCTGGTGAGAGTGGGTGGTGAGTGTTGGTGGTGAGTGTTGGTGGTGAGTGGGTGGTGAGTGTTGGTGGTGAGTGTGCTGTTGAGTGTTGGTGGTGAGTGTGGGTGGTGAGTGTGCTAGTGAGAGTGGGTGGTGAGTTTGGGTGGTGAGTGTGCTGGTGAGTGTTGGTGGTGAGTGGGTGGTGAGTGTGGGTGGTGAGTGTGCTGGTGAGTGTTGGTGGTGAGTGTGCTGGTGAGTGTTGGTGGTGAGTGTGCTGGTGGGAGTGGGTGGTGAGTGTGCTGGTGAGTGTTGGTGGTGAGTGTGCTGGTGAGTGTTCGTGGTGAGTGTGGGTGGTGAGTAGGTGGTGAGTGTTGGTGGTGAGTGTTGGTGGTGAGTGGGTGGTAAGTGTTGGTGGTGAGTGTGCTGGTGAGTGTTGGTGGTGAGTGGGTGGTGAGTGGGTGGTGAGTGTTGGTGGTGAGTGTTGGTGGTGAGTGTGCTGGTGAGTGTGCTGGTGAGAGTGGGTGGTGAGTGTGCTGGTGAGTGGGTGGTGAGTGGGTGGTGAGTGTGCTGGTGAGTGTTGGTGGTGAGTGTGCTGGTGAGTGTGCTGGTGAGTGTGCTGGTGAGTGGGTGGTGAGTGTTGGTGGTGAGTGTGCTGGTGAGTGGGTGGTGAGTGGGTGGTGAGTGTGCTGGTGAGTGTGCTGGTGAGTGTTGGTGGTGAGTGGGTGGTGAGTGTTGGTGGTGAGTGTGCTGGTGAGTGTTGCTGGTGAGTGTGCTGTGAGTGTTGGTGGTGATTGTTGGTGGTGAGTGGGTGGTGAGTGTTGGTGGTGAGTGTGCTGGTGAGTGTTGGTGGTGAGAGTGGGTGGTGAGTGTGCTGGTGAGTGGGTGGTGAGTGTGCTGGTGAGAGTGGGTGGTGAGTGTGCTGGTGAGTGTTGGTGGTGAGTGTGCTGGTGAGTGTTGGTGGTGAGTGGGTGGTGAGTGTTGGTGGTGAGTGTGCTGATGAGTGTGCTGGTGAGTGTGCTGGTGAGAGTGGGTGGTGAGTGTGCTGGTGAGTGTTGGTGGTGAGTGTTGGTGGTGAGTGTGCTGGTGAGTGTTGGTGGTGAGTGTGCTGGTGAGTGTTGGTGGTGAGTGGGTGGTGAGTGTGCTGGTGAGTGTGCTGGTGAGTGTTGGTGGTGAGTGGGTGGTGAGTGTTGGTGGTGAGTGGGTGGTGAGTGTTGGTGGTGAGTGTGCTGGTGAGTGTGCTGGTGAGTGTGCTGGTGAGAGTGGGTGGTGAGTGTTGGTGGTGAGTGTTGGTGGTGAGTGTGCTGGTGAGTGTTGGTGGTGAGTGTGCTGGTGAGTGTTGGTGGTGAGTGGGTGGTGAGTGTGCTGGTGAGTGTGCTGGTGAGTGTTGGTGGTGAGTGGGTGGTGAGTGTTGGTGGTGAGTGAGCTGGTGAGAGTGGGTGGTGAGTGTTGGTGGTGAGTGTTGGTGGTGAGTGTGCTGGTGAGTGTTGGTGGTGAGTGGGTGGTGAGTGTGCTGGTGAGTGTGCTGGTGAGAGTGGGTGGTGAGTGTTGGTGGTGAGTGTTGGTGGTGAGTGGGTAGTGAGTGGGTGGTGAGTGTGCTGGTGAGTGTTGGTGGTGAGTGGGTGGTGAGTGTTGGTGGTGAGTGGGTGGTGAGAGTTTGTGGTGAGTGTTGGTGGTGAGTGTTGGTGGTGAGTGTGCTGGTGAGTGTGCTGGTGAGAGTGGGTGGTGAGTGTGCTGGTGAGTGTTGGCTGTGAGTGGGTGGTGATTGTGGGTGGTGAGTGTAGGTGGTGAGTGTTGGTGAGTGTTGGTGGTGAGTATTGGTGGTAAGTGTGCTGGTGAGAGTGGGTGGTGAGTGTTGGTGGTGAGTGTTGGTGGTGAGTGGGTGGTGAGTGTTGGTGGTGAGTGTGCTGTTGAGTGTTGGTGGTGAGTGTGGGTGGTGAGTGTGGGTGGTGAGTGTGCTGGTGAGAGTGGGTGGTGAGTGTGGGTGGTGAGTGTGCTGGTGAGTGAGTGGTGAGTGGGTGGTGAGTGTGCTGGTGAGTGTTGGTGGTGAGTGTGCTGGTGAGTGTGCTGGTGAGTGTGCTGGTGAGTGGGTGGTGAGTGTTGGTGGTGAGTGTGCTGGTGAGTGGGTGGTGAGTGGGTGGTGAGTGG